AGCTGCGGGTGTCCTCACGATTGTGGGATAGAGTTCGTTGAGAAGTCATCTTTGTGCAGTTGTTAAAAAACATGACTGAGCATAGTGTGAGCGCCTCTAAGAATTCACAAGAAGGAGATCCCCAGGAGAGCATTATTCTCCTTCTATTCAGAGTAGGAAAATGTTTTTATCACAACTTGATAAGTGGTAGGAATAGATTGAACCTGACCGCATCTGATGTCAGTCATCTTTTTGTTTTTGTTTGTTTGTGTTTTCTGGGGTTGTTGGGAGAGAGTTTCAAGACAGGGTTTCTCTGTGTAGCCCTGGCTGTCCTAGAACTCACCCTGTAGACCAGGCTGGCCTCAGACTCAGATCTGCCTGCCTCTGCCTCCCAAGTACTGGGATTAAAGGCGTGCACCACCACCACCCAGCTTCATGCATTGTTTTTTTAATGACAAAGTTTGTTCTATTTCTTTTCTTCCCTCCATTTTATTAAGAAAACATACAGAGCCAGGTGTGGTGGTACACAGCCTTTCATTCAGCACTCGGGAGGCAGAGGAGAGCATTGAACTTTTCTTATGCCCCATCTGTGAAATGGGCATGATAGGTTATCACCAAAACTACTGAGGCGCTTAGAACACTGCCTAGTATGCTACACCTGCCCACTAGTTTGTGATTTTATTGTTTTACTCTGCTCTTAATGTGCTAATTAAGCAAAAGATATGCTATAATTCTATCACAGTTTTGCAGAGAAACAAAATCACAGTAGTGATTGAGGAAGTGCAGGCACCTGTTCTCTTCTGCTTTCATGTGTGGGTTTTTTTCTGCAAACATGGAATCCCTGCTGCATCCAGGGAGGCTGAGGAGTGAATGGTGCAGAGGCTAGGATCTGATGGTCTTAGGTCACAGGGTCACAGAGCCTGTTGGTTCACTTACAGGTCGGTTATCTATATATTGTGACGGGCTCCTGTCAAGTGTACTATGAAATGAAATGCTGACTGGAGGTTGTTGGATGCTCAGGATTAAGCAGCCAGACTGGGGGTGGGGTGGGGAACACAAAGCCCGTGACCAGTAACCAGTTTTCCCTACCAGGGTGCTGCCCTTGTGTCTGATGGTTGCTCTCAGTTGAGAGGGTTATCTAATATGCAAAGTCTGGCTGAGAGGTCATCCCAGATTCAAAGCTCCCCCTTCTGCTGTCTATTGTGAACATCCTGAAAATTGAATATTAATTACTGAGAAGTCTTTCCGGGATCTAGTGAGTAGTTTCTTTTTGTTGATTGCACAGAAGGACAAAGTAGCTCCCCTTTGTTTAGCTCGACTGTGTTAAGGAGAAAGAAGGAAGATGGCAAGTGTCTTGTAATCTCTGTCCACTGCCCAAGTCACTGTTTGTCCTCCTGTCTTCTCTACAGCCAAGCAGGTCGAGTATATGGTCAACGAGAAGCACATCTATCTGCTGCCGAGCGGTCGGATCAACATGTGCGGCTTGACCACCAAGAACTTAGATTACGTCGCTACCTCCATCCATGAAGCCGTCACCAAATTCCAGTGAAGAAACACTGTGGAGTTCACGCCACCAAAGCAGTTCTTGTCACAACTTTTCCTGCCTGCGCAAACCTAGCTGTACATGTCCTTTATATTAGAGATGACCATGGGAAGGAACCTGCTATTTAGCTGGCACCACATGAGAAGACATTTCTTGAAATGAACCCATGAGGCCTGGGGTTAGAGCCTTTTAGAAACCAGAGCAGAGCAAAGTTATTTTAAGAATAAAAAGTACTTTGATATGAGATGTAATCACCTTGCCTTCTCCTCTCTAGCATTCTGCAGGAGTGTTGCCCACGGAGCCGTGGGCTTCTGCGTGTTGCTTGACTCTGCACAAAAGTCCAGACTCAAAGATCAAGTTGTCTTGAGGAGCCAGATGTGACTGTGGGTGTTGGCTGGGGCATTAAAACTCATCCTTTCCATGAGTCTCTGTCTCTCGTCCCCCTGATCTTCCCGCATGGTCGTGTCCCTGGTCTGGAACATTAGTTTTTTAAGGCAACTGTGGCCAGTATTTATATCATGACGCACAAATGGATTTACATATTTAACTGAAATGAAAGTCCCACTAGATGGTATTTGCTCTTGTGATATGTGGCACATTGTGATATTTTCTTAGTCTATTCTCTTGTGTTTTGTTTCATTTAAAAAAATAAAAATGCCGATCAAGACAAATGGAATAGAGTTTGTGATCCATTAATGAGTTGTCACCCACAATTTGGAATGAAGTCTTTAGAGGGATTTGCTAATGGTAAAAGGTAGAGAAAAAAACGAAACAAAATGTTGTGAATAGCCCGGGCCTTGTATTTTGATGCTAAATTCTACTTCTGGGAGGGGTTGAAGAGGAGTGAATCTGTACACAGGTGACTTCTAGTGAACCTTCTGCCCACCTTAATTTGTAAAATAAAGGCTGGAGCCAGTGACTGGGCAGTAGAAGGGGAGGTGGAGAAATAAAGGTATGGGAGGAGAGAGAGAGGGAGAGGGAGAAGGGACAGAGGAGGAAGATGATGGAGGAACAGGAGGTAGAAGGACAATGGAGGAGAAGCACGTGGCCTGGAAAAGTTATAAGGGTCTCATAGCTGGGGAATAGAGTAGTGTAGTGGTGAATCTGCCCAGTCTAGACGTGCAGCTTATATTCATAACTATTGAGTTGTTTTCTTTGACCAGTCTTATTTGAATTGGAGATTTACCGCAACGTGTTCTTGAAATTGAAAGTTCAAGTGAGATCACGGCTTTAAGTCCACGTTGTTTTTGTAGGTTTAGCATTCAGACACCAGCCATTTTCTTATTTTTCCTAAGAAACTGGGATAATTTCATTTCAAGGGATTCTAGAATACCAGCTCTTCCCGTAACTGCTGGAGCTGCTATGTCCCTAGAGTATTGGAAAAATTACAGCTGCTTAAACACCACAATTTCCAGAGTCCCTGAACTCTGCGAACGGTGGGTGTGGAGACTTGGTCGGGTTATGCCTTTAAGCAACAGAGTAACCACTTTTAAATATTTCAAAATATTTAAGAGTGGCTTTTCAGGATTTCCAAGGACTCCCGTGAGGTATAAAATCCTACCGTTGATCAGCTCCAGAAGTCAGCAGCTCCAGCCTGGCTCCCTCTTTGAAACAGTCTGCTTCCTGACGTCCCTGACTCACCCCCTTTCCTCTGGGTGTGGTGAGGAATTCTTCCCAAACTTACTAAGGCACCCTGTTCTGTTGGTAGGGCCTTTCAGTTATAAAAAGATCTTTGACCTTGAGCCAGAATTTGATCGTCTTTGTGATTCCTCATTCCTTTTTTTGAATCAGTCAATCTGTTAGTACCAAAACACGGGTCTTCCTGCCTCTCGAGAGCAGCAGTTATTCCTTGTCTGGCTTTCCTGAGCAAAGCCCTCCGCCCTCATTCAGCGTTACAACACAGATCCTACCATCTGGCTGGGCTCTCTCTCTGTAGGTGCCCAAGGCTGGTGGGTGTGGATGAGGTAAACGTTATTAGAGGTTAGCTTGCCACGTGTTTCCATTTGTAGCCTTTATTATTAAAGTTTGTTCCTGCAACTTTAGGATGTTGCCTCCCAGGATGAGTTGCATTCTTGCATTCTCCCTGGGTGCGGCTTAAGCCATCAGCGGACAGTAACTCTGTTGGGGGTGGGCTTGGTAGTTGAGAGCAAAAGAGGCTTGATTTGGCAGGAGCAGGGCTCAACAGTTAAGACTGTTGCTCTTGCAGAGAACCAGGGTTCTGTTTCCAGCACCCACATCATGACACCTCACAATTGCCTGGAATTGCAGTTCAAGGGGATCTGACACCCTCTTTTATCTTCCAAGGGTACCTACATATGCTAAGGCATACACATAAATAAATCTTAAAAAAAAAATTGATCAATGTGGCCCTTCAAAATGTCCTACCCAATAAACTCTCACTAGGGTGTATTTTTTCTTGTTAGGGAAAAAGAAATTTTCTCTAGGGGAAGTGCTAAAACTATTTAAATTAAGGAAACAGCTTTAAGTCTCAAAGCCAGTACCAACATGCTGAAAACGCTTTTAGTATTTTTTTTTTTTAAAAAGGGTGGGAATTTGGCGTTGTATGTTTATACATCTTGGTTAGCATGTCCTGTACTGTGTCTGGGGTTCTGTGGGTGTTTGGGGGACACTGCAAGACCTCTCACACATGGGTGTGGGGTGCATGGTAGACTTCAGAGGTGGGCAAACAGGAAACTGACTTGCCAGTTCCTGGCAGAACAACCTCAAGCAAGTTATCTAACTTCTTAGGCAGGATCAGTGCCTTTGACGGGCAGTTTTGAGGAATGAGCTAATCAGTCCTCATTACCACACCTGGTAAGTATAGCCCAGAGAAAGCAATTGTTAGTGTATTAAGGAATGAATAGCCTCAACTGAGCCTCCAGAGAAGAATCTTATATGGTTCTAGCATAGCCCATTGACAGTCCTGTTATATCACTTGCCAGTTGCCTGGGTAGTCCGCCTCTGGAGCTAGCTTACAGTGCACATGGAGCCTCTGGCCCACTGCTTTCTTGTTCTTGCTTCTAGCCTTTGCTTAGGAACCACTGGAATGGGGCCATCTTGATGTTCCAGAAGGTCTGAAGAAGCCCACTAGTGAAAGCAGCAGAGTCTCAGGGCTGCGTCTGTGTCTGGCCTCCAACATCCTGGTCTTTTCTCATGGTCATGTGGGTTCAGCAGCCGCTGGCCCTTCTCATTATCCTTTGTCTCCATTTACACCCAGGTTTGTGTTTACTTCCCTCTTCTGTCATTCATTCCTATAAAAGTCCGACCCACCTGGCTTCCCAAAGGGAAGTGCCTGAATTTCGCCTTACCTTATGTCAGTGTTGCACCTTCCTCGAGGGGAGTATTCTTGCAGGCAGGTGGGTCACAGGTGGGTTGCAGGTGAGTTGCAGGTGGGATGTTGACACCTGTGCATTGTCTATCATGAATCTCAAATGAAACTGCTTTAGAACTCCAGAATCTCATGGGCAAGCAAAGCAGCTAGTCCAGGAAAACACATTTTCATTTTATTTAAAAATTATTTACAATTTATTGAGTCTTCATAAATGCTTTATTTTAAAATCTTTTTTTAAAATGTATTTTAACCTGAAGAAAATCTGGGGGACTTGGGAGCTAGGGCAAGGAGTGGTGACAGGTCCCTTAGAGGTTCTGCAGAGGGAGGGGCTAATGCAACAGCAGTGGCCTGAGCCTGGTGGCCAAAGGGCTAATGAGAGGGAACTTTGTTCACCTAGCAGGCTCCCTTGCGAGATCTTGTTACTCATCACTTACTGGCCTAGGTCTGAGACAGCCAGCACTAAGTGCTGGCACTGTATTCTGAGCAGGCAGGGAGAAGTGGCTGCGGACTTAGCTAGAACACATGCATGGCTGAGCCTCAGGACAGCCAGGCTAAACAAGGGGCATGTGAAGTCAGTGACACATGCAGAAGATGCATCTCTGGCTCCAGTCTTCCCTCCTGTGGGCTATGGCCCTCTTGGCAATACCTACTGTGGTTTTTGGTAGACAGTGGGCAAAAGTTATATGGGATGTAGGTTGTGACCCTACTATGTGGTGTGCCAGGGATTTCTGAGGACCCTGTCTTGGTGGGTGCCAACCTTCCCCGTCGACAAGAATGCTTGACCACTTATAATTAAACACTCATCTCAAGTGTCCCAGCATTCACTCTGCATTGTAAAAACTTTGGGCTGCAAGTTCCATTATTTAAAACTGTTAAAAAGCCTTCGTGGATCTGGGAACTCTGAGAATATTAAGAAAGCTTCAAGACTCTGGAAAACACACAAAAACACTAAGTTCCGACAGTTTAAAGGGCTTTTGGCCCCATGGAGTCAAACTATGGACTCCTCTGGGGTAACGGCCCCAGGTTAACAACCCCTGAGTTAAAGTTCCTATGGGCAAGTATTTTCCTGTGACTGAATGGGGGAAGGGCTGGGGGGGGCAGCTAGGGAATGGTTTGGAGATTCAGCAGGCAGCACTGAATCTCTGGGCACTGACTGGAGGTGTGCAAGGACGGGGTGGGAAATAATTTAGAAACTCAAACTTGACTTTTAAGTTTTCCCTTGGACTGGCTGTGTTTCCCAACACCTACATGAGTCTTAGGACTAGATTTGCATGATCACTCTGCCATCTTGTGGTTATGATTAGAATTGCATCTGCCCCCAACATCCAGGACTAAAACCCCTGGATCTGGTAGGTTTTTGGAATACTTATCCTGACCAGCAAGGGATGTAGTAAGAGGCCTGAGGTAGGGGGTGGGGGGTATGTGAAAAAGAAAAGTGAGCGTTCAACATTCCTGTGTCAAGCACAGTGAAGTCCCGTGACAGCACGGAACAATCTTCCTGGCCGACCTGGGCACTCTTTGGTTTATCATGGCTACACAAACTCTAACAACTTACAATTTTTTCATGTAAGCTTTTTTTCCTGCTTTGATTTTCACTTAAAACCTGAAGTTCTGTGTCTGGCTCACAACTTAGTCCCTGTGTTCCCTGAACCTCCCTTCCGAAGCAAGCTTATTGAGAGATTGATCTCTGGAAGCCCAAACTGACATCCCTGGGAGATAGAGTGACTCAGGGCTTCCTCTCTCTTCATTTCAGCTGAACTGCCCTTCCCCAGGCTGTGGGGAGAATCCACTCACTAACTGAAGAATCCTTGTCTATCCGTCCATCCCTGGAGCTGATTTTCACACCGGCTCCTCTAGGCTCCAGTACACCTCTATGCCCGCATCACTGTCTGTAATGCTGAACATGACCTATGGTAGAAAGCGTTATTTTGTCCTGGAAGAAAGAACAGTGAATTCCAGGACAGGGACACCAAGAACAAAGACTGTCATTGGGAGCCTCAGAATGGCATTGTCAGCTTGGTGTCATCCCCTGGCCAGTTCTAGACTATGCTACAGACAAGACCATTTCTAGCATTTTCCATCACAGGCATCTCCTTCTGTGTCAGACTGGAGGCAACTGATAAAACTTGCCAGACTGACTGAGGGGTGAAAGGTGGAGGGTACAATGTTCTGTCACTGATGGGAGGCCTCGGGGGTAGCGAGTGATGGGAGGGTGGGTCTTCCCCCAAAGCCTCGGAGTCTCGCACTCAGCCAATGAGGGAAGACCTCATCATGTGATCAGGGGTGTTAAATTGGAGTTTTCCTCAGAAGCTCTCTCTCCGTCTGCTGACTTCTTTCTTTTCCGGCCACCTGAAAAACAGGTTGTCAGCATCCATCTGTGGCTAGGGAGGTCGTCCGTCCATGCACTGTCAGCAGCCTGAGGACTCTTCAACATAGATGCAGGAAGGGAGACACAGCCCTGCCTTGGAGCTCACGCAATGGAACCCGCATTGCACCGCGGTGCTGATGTCAGCACATTTACACCTCGACGTACTTTCCCAAAAGAGGACCGTTTCTGAAAAGCCTCAATCCCAGGCACTAGCCTATGGTAGACAGTGCACAGAAGGGATTGAGGTAGGCCCCGAAATGCCTTCTCTCCCTTCCCTGGATGGTCCCAGCTCAAGTGACTGCCAGACAGCACAGAGTACTAGTCTTTGTGTCCCATGGGCCACAGCTGGTGGCTAGAGCTGGGAGCCATTCACAGTGGCTCTGGTTCAGAACGCGCCTGCTCTGGGTCAGGTGATGCTGAGAGTATAATGCCCTCAAAGATAGACTTCTTTCCAGCTCTTGGGAGTTTTCAGGAACATTTTCATCCTGCACTCTCTGCCATTAAATTCTGTCTCATGAGGATACTACTCTTTCCCCTAGTTAAAAAATTATTTATTTCATGTGTGGGCATTTGCACATGTGTGTATGCATGTGTGTGGTTGTGTGGGTGCCACAGCATGCAAATGAGGCCAGTTCTTTCCTCTCACCATGTGGGTCCTGTGTACAAACTCAGGCCCTCAGGCTTGGCAGCAAGCACCCTTACCCATGGAGACATCTCCCAGCCCTTTGCTTTCCTTTCTTGGAGTCTCCTGGACACAGGGTTTTGTTGAAGGACTATATAGTAAATATTATGGGTTTTACAGGCTCTAAGGTCTCTGTCATAATTGTTCAATCTTGCCACTATGGCTACATATGACAAATGGGCCTATGACCCAAAGGTCCCTACCTATAAAAACAGGTGAAGGAGATTAGAATTTGACTACAAGACATGTCTATAGACTCTTGTTCTAGGGGATCACCAATGCAATGGGACAGATTTGAGCAGCTTCACAGGGGTGGCACTGCCTCTGGGAGGACTGGTTTTTCCTACTACTTGGTGAGGAGCTTTGGTCTGGGGGAGAAGATACTCACTCAAGGTTCTCAGCAGCTTCTTGCCCATGTTTTCCTCTGAGTCGCTGCTGCAGGGGCTGGCCTCTGGGTCCAGGGGGATGTTACAGCATTCAGGATCCGAAGCTGAAAGGAGAACAGACTCAGGTCTCCAGCCTAAATGTCAGCATCAAGCAGGAAGGTTCTGAGAGTGACAGGGTTGAAGGGTGGGGCCTTTCTGTGAGTGACAGTGCCAGAGAGAGAGAAGTGGGAAGAGGGAGAGGGAGAGACAGAGACAGAGAGACAGAGACAGAGAAACAGACAGACGACAGACAGACGGACAGACTACTGAAAGGTGTTGTTTATTAGCTGGCAAATGACATTTTACTGCCACAAAAGGAACAGACAACAGGAACCTGTAATCCAACAGACTACTCAAAATCAGAATAATTACATCTCCTCAAATACCATCTGGGAGGAGAGGGAATACTAAGTGTTCTACCTGGTGTTTGTGGCAGACAAAAAGCACATGTAAGGCCACAAGACGTCACTGTCTTTTACCTGTAAAACCAAGTGCTCAGCCGTAACAGGGCACATGCCTGTGTCTTCTTAGAATCTCTGAGCCCAGAAATGATCCAAGCCTCACACCAAGTGAAATTTGACCCTGGGAGGCAGGGTGGTGTGTTGGAAACTGACCTGCACCAGAAGCCCTGATGTGGAGTCCATGTTTAACATGGTCTTTGGGTATGGGTGACCCATTTCCCAAATCCTGGGACTTGGATGCCCCAGTTTTCCCGGTTGCCTGGGACACATGTTGCCTCTCTGATCTTCCAACCTTAGGAGTCTTTCTGCATCTTTGGTTTGTATACTTGGTGTGGAACAGGCCAGGCCTGAAACACTGGGAAGAGGAACTACTGGTCTAGTAGGTAGGTATATGGAGTATCAAACGCTTGGGGTCTACCTCCATGAAGCAAGCCAGATCTCACTGCTACTGGGACACAGGGAGTTTTGAGCAACTCCACTGTCAAGACAGAAGTGTACCAAGTCTCAAATGAAGGGATCTGAGATTGCAGGAAAATCCTCACAAACTGTGACTTGTGCTGTGGCCCAGAGGAAGGGGAAGAGCCCTACCAGTGGGGGTAAGGGCTGATGTCAGTCTTCTTATCATGAGCAGTTCTAATATTTATAGAGTGGGATACCATACACTGATGTGCCTGATATAGACACTATGTCATTTGAAACTGCCTTATGAAATAAACTACATTGTTTTTGCTTATTCACTTGCTCAAGGAAACTTACCTACTAAGGAAACTGAACCTTAGGGTGAGTAATTTATTTAACATTGCACAGCTCCTAAACCCCCTGCCATGTGGTGCATGCCTGTAACCTAGCAATGGAAGGCAGATGCAGGAGGCTCAGAAGCCTAGGGTGATTCTCTGTACAGGGTAAGCTTGAGGCCAGCTCAGATTACAAGATACCTTATCTTAAAAAAAAAAAAAAAATCCTGAATTGGGTGATTAGGGTCTGAATCCAGTCAGAAAATACTGCTACCATTGTCCAAGTTTTCCTGGAAAGATGAATTGGATTGGCCCAATACATGATAGGTGTTCAGTAAATGGTGACCCCGCCCTGTGTGTGTATGTGTGTGTGTGACAGAGAGACAGAGATAGATAGATAGATACATAGATAGATAGATAGATAGATAGATAGATAGATAGATAGATAGATAGACAGACAGTGCTGGAGACTCAGGGCTTCCCCAAGCCAGCTTGCTCTGAACCATGCTTGTGTCCCAGAGTGGTGATCTCCCTTTCTGCTCTGGACCCAGCCCTGACCTGCTGTTGTAGGAACAGTGACAGGAGACAGCGAGATTTGCTGTGTCTTGTGCTCCTCAAAGTTGGGCATCTCTTCCGGGGGGAAGGCCATCTCCTCCATCCTCAGGTATACCACCTCACCTGGGCTTCTCAGACCATCTGAGCGGCTGCCTATGGAGGACAGAGAGTAGGTTACCTCTGTGCCTTGGAGGAGATCTTGGGCTCTGTGAGGCACAAGATAGCTGGGCAGAAGTGGAGGAGAAAAGTAGTTTTTTTTTTTTTTTAATCGAAGAACAGCCCAGCCCATCCAGCAGACTGACTCACACGGCAAGCTGGTCCTGTTGCTCAGGAGTGTGAGGACCGGATCATCCTTTGGAGTCTGGGGTGTGCCCCGGGTGGTAGGGGCCTTGGTGGAGTCTCCATCAGTGAAGGCTTCCATATCTGGGGATTGGGGCGAGCTGTCCATATGGCAGGCCGTGAGTGCATTCTGGTACTGCTGTCGTGTGATCTGGAAGGAAGTAGACAGAGGCTCAGGAGAGCTACCCAGACACTCCATCCATGCAGCCTGCTTTCCTGAGCAGACAAGCTCTATGGGATGCTTTGGGATGCCTGGTCTGGGTCTGACATCATGAAGTGGGAGTCCTATCCAAGCTGTGTTAAGCCCAGCATCAGAAAGACAATGAATAGATCATTTACTTGCTGGCCACAATTGCAGCCAATCCCTCAATTAATTTTTATTTGCTCTAGACTTTGTAGCGTACTTGGAAGAGCCTGCATGAACCTGTTCTGGGTTGCTGTAGTGAAATATCTGAGCCTTGTACTTTATATAGAAAAGAGGTTTATTTAGCTCAAGGTCCCGGTGGCTGGAAAGTCTAACCAGCGTGGGGCTGGTGCTTGGTGAGAGCCTCCCTGGCTGCATCACAGGGGAGAAATGTAGAAAGGGAACCAGCTGACTGCAGCAAGGGGCTAAGCACATAGGCTAGCCTTGTTTGACAGCAACCTGATTTCATGAAAACCAATCCAGTCCTAGGAAAAACACACTAATCCCCTCCAAGGGTGGTACTCCCCAAAACCTACTTTCCACTAGGTTCCACTTCTGGAAGATCTACCTCATAATATTGTTCCATTGGGGACCTTGTTAACCTTTGGGGGACATGGTTAAGCCATATCCAAATCAGAGGATGTGGGCCATACAGAACTATGACCCTCGAACCTCAGTATCAGACTCAAAGGGCTTGTTACATCCAGGTTTCTGGGCCCGATTCTGAAAGTTTCTAATTTACTAGGTCAGGATATGAAACAGAATTTGAGTTTCTAGAAAGTTCCATGATGTAAGGCTACAGATACAGCGGCACTCTGGCACCCACTGGCTGAGACCTACTTAACTGAGGCACAAGTCCTGCTCGGTGTCATTTCTCTCCCTGGGAAACATTTCAAAGGACACAGCAGCACTGTGCTCATAACCGGCTTTGGTAGTTTTCAGGAGGAAACTGCTTTATACTTTATAGCAGAAATATGGGCCTCAACTCACCATCTGCCCAAGGCTTCAACAGGCTCAGTGTTCTTGTTGAGAAGAACACCTCATGCCCCAGCTCCTGCCGTCTTCCCTCACTGAGAAGTCTGAAGCCAGGTTTCCAAAAGGACAGGAAAGTTTCCTACATGAGACTTGAGAAGCCCAAGAAAGCAGCTGACCCTACCATAGCTGTGTTCTTTATAGAATTATTTTGTGTGTGTGTGTGTCTTCGAGTTTGTGTATACCATGTGTGTTTGTGGTGTCTCTGTGTGTCTGTGTATGCCATGTGTGGGCACCTGCAGAGGTCAGAAGAGGGCGCTGAGTCTCTCAGAGCTACGGTTACAGGTGTTTGTGTGGGTGCTGGGAACCGGGTCTTCTGGAAGAGCAGTAGGCACTCGCAACTACTGAGCCATCCCTCTAGTCCCCCCCGCTGTGTTCTTTAAAATATTAATTTGTATTTGTCTTCTACTTTAGTCAAATAAGGCAAAAGGATCTTTTACCCAGAGAATATAGAAGGAAACTTGCTGTCTGCTCAGCACCCATGGCTCAAGTCTCAGTTTTGCCACTTTTGAGCTGGGTAACGCTAGCCAGATCGCTAGCCGCTTTCAGTTTGTAAAACATGCCAGAGAAACTTATCACACTCCCCCACACACCTCTCAATCTGATTTTGTAAGAGGTGTACATTTCAAAGACAGGTGTCAAACTCATCTTATTTCTTCTAAACGGTCTATGACATGCCATGAGGTGGGGGGCGGGGTGGGAGGGACAGTGACCCTCAGTCAGGGTGGATTGGTGGTGCTGGGAAGACAAGTCCAGAAGCTTGGTAGAGTTAAAGCCTTCAGTAAGACAACAGCCCAAGCAGGAAGAGGTTGAAGCCAGGCAGTGGTAGAGGCTTGTTAAGGATGATGTCCAGACTTTGTTCTGGGGGGAGTGGTTGCCCTGGACACTGGATACAGGGTAGAGTTTGGGGGCGGGGTCTGCATGTCAGTGGGTAGCTGTAGAGAAGGGAAGGTACGGTGGATTCGTTATCCCTTTCTGTTCTCATGGCCTTGCTTTCACACTGCTCTAAGGAAAAGACACTTTTTAAACTTTAAAGTACTGCTGTGCTACCACATCATTGTGAGAAAATAGCTGTTGACATAAAGGGCTAGAGAGATGGCTCAGCAGTCAGGAGCATTTGTTGTTCTTGCAGAGGAACCGGGTTCGATTCCCAGGAATGCACATGGTACACAGACATGTATGTGAGCAGAATACTCATACACATAAAATGAGTAAGCCTACAAAAACCTAAAAAAGATAAGCTATTGACAGAAACTCTGTCCTGAAAAGCAGTCTCAGGGCCAGGTCCTTTTTGTCATTTCTCTCTCATTGGGCAAGTTTTGGTTTTGGTGCTAGGAGGTAAATCCAGGGCTGGTACATGCCAGACAGATGGGGGTCTGTTTAGTTACACTCCCAACCTCCACAATGGTTCAACTTAGCACATTACTGCTAAATAGAAATACTGTCTAGTAGTTAAAGAAAGTAGATACAGGCCAAGCAGTGCTATATTGTGACACCCTGTGTCCACATATAAACAAACCAAAAAAGAGAAACAGGTGAAATAATGTTCTCAGCATGGCCTTGATGGTTAACTCAGAACTTGGACAGCCAGACTCTTTTCAAGGTTCCTTTGCTGCGCTACATCTGCTGGCCTTCCATACCCACTTGTGAGAGTGCCCCCAAATGACACTGCCTTAATCCACCTCTGGTTCCTTCCCAAAATTTAAAGGTCCAGATATTATCCAGATAATACAGTGCTTTAAAAATGCCACATAATTTAGCGGCCTAAAAATGCCACATAGTTTAGTGGCCTGAAAAATTCTTTATAGTTTAGTGCTCTGAAATATGCCACATAGTTTAGTGGCCTGAAAAAAAATGCCTCATGGTTTAGTGGCCTGCACTGATCATTGTCATTTAACTTGTTTTTCTCCTCTTAACAATTTGCAAGGCAGTTTTATATGAAAACATTTACATATTTATATCTTGAAATTTTGTTTTAATCTAAAACTTTTTACTTAATGTATCTTGTATGTTTTGCCTGCATTCATGTTTGTGCAGCATGTGTATGTCGAGTGCCTGTGGGGCCAGAAGAGGGAGTCATATCCCCTGGAACTGGGGTTACAGATGGTTGTGAGCTATCATGTGGATGCTGGGAATCAAAATCAGGTCCTCTGGAAGAGCAGCCAGTGCTCTTAACCGGGTCATCTCTCCAGGCCCCATATTCGTATCTTTTGTTTGTTTGTTTGTTTGTTTGTTTGTTTTTGTTGTTGTTTTTGAGACAGGGTTTCTCTGTGTAGCCCTGGCTGTCCTGGAACTCACTCTGTAGACCAGGCTGGCCTCGAACTCAGAAATCCGCCTGCCTCTGCCTCCCAAGTGCTGGGATTAAAGGCGTGCGCCACCACTGCCCGGCCCCATCTTTGTATCTTACATTCAAATATATTTAACGAATTACACGGTATCCAAAGAACATTGTTAATGCTCAAGAAATACCCATCGATTGGCTGATGAAGCTAAGCAAGTTCCAAAGACAACCTTTCTTCTTTCTTTTTTCTTTTTTCTCTTCTCTGCTGCAATATGTCTTAGCAATAGTTTGAATTTAGATTGTCTTTCATACTTTGACCAGTTAATAATACAAGCATTTCCTAAATTATTATCTTGAGATTAACAAAAGGTAATATTTCCCTTTTGGGCATGTTGACTTAGCAGCCAATGCACTCAGAGTTTAACCTTTAGGCTAGTGAATGTCTCTTGGCACATTATGAACTTGTGACTTGGGGATAGCTTACTAGCCTTCAAAACAGGACCCTGCAATTTAGGAATTCCACCACTAGATGGTGACAGGAATCAGGTCGAAGTTATATAACACCATAAAGTGGTTGCCAAATGTTCTTAGCTTAACAATGCTGCCTACAGGACAGAAACTAAATAAAAAATAAATTCGCAAGGATGCTTTGGGGGCTTCATAATGTATAAACATCTATGAATCATGGCTTTGTTTAAAACCTTACCCAGAAAACCAAGATGTGCCTTTCTAGCTTGTGTTAAACTTGTCTTGAAATCATATTACTCCTGAACATAATAATTTGGGAACTTTATTGGACAAGGAAGGTCACTCAGGACCTTTTCTACCAGCAGCTGGGGAGTGGGCCTGGGAAAGCACTTTTGCATGCAGTGTTCATTTTATGTCCCTAGGCGCTATAAGGTAGACCACTTGCCTGGGGTGTCTGAGGCCCCAGATTCAATCCTTAGCACTACAGAAAGGAAGGGAAGGAGGGAGGGAAGGAAGATGAGGAGAAAGAGAGAGAGAAAGAGAGAGCACACTGGGAGAGGAATGTGGGGGAGTTGCCTCAATCATCTCTTGAATTGGGAGGAGGTGAGTTTTAGCTTATGGTATAAGAAAAATTGTACATTACACAGTAGAGGAGGAAACCAAACCCTAACACATTTATCTTGTCCCTCAGTAGGACTAATAGTTTTCTGAAGCCACAGGTTTAAAGAGAGTTTGACTAATGCTTTAATTAGCCATCCTTCTCAATTTTAAAATTTTTAGGTGGAAAAAGGGCTATGTTTGGTGTTTCTCAGAAGCTTGGACCAGAACATGACCCTCTAGTGTGACAAAAAGAACATGTCCTCCTCAGTTCTCCTGAGATTTGTCCTTGGGTTCCAGTTCCAACCACCACTCTCTCAGGATGGGAACGCTTTCCTTGTTATTTGTGGGAAGTCACCTTCTCTTAGCTCCGGGGATGGGGACTTAGGAAACCGTTAAAAATCTCCTCTGTCAGAGGCTTTCATCTCAGTCTGGTTGTCCTACCCGGTCCAGTCAAGACAAAGAACACTCCTCTCAGCCCTCGGCCTCATGGCTGCTTATTTAAGCCCCATGGTTAAAGGGTCTTGTTTCTTTTCCATCCCACAGTACCAAGCCAAGTGGACACTGATTTTTTGAACTTCAGTCATAAATGGTGCCATATGACCCTCAAATTCTACACACTACGCGCTGACACCTAATTCTGAGGGAGAAGGCATTAAGGAGGCAGGCTTCGGGAGGGGATCAGGACGGTGTGACTTCTCTTTTATGCAGGTTCACTCCCTTCACTCTTTCTCTACTCTCTAACGTCTGAGGACACAAGGTCCATGAGGAAGTGGGCCCTCAACACTGGATCTACTGGCCCCATGACCCTTCCCAGGTTATAGCAGTGTAAGTTGTACATTCTATGATAATTTGTGCCAGCAGCCTGAATTGACTTAGGTGAACAGGAAGACCCAAGAAAAAAAACAAAAACAAAACAAAACAAAACAAAACAAAACAAAACAAAACAAAAAAGGGAGCCCTCCTTTTCCCTCCATTTAAAATGTTTTAAAGTTGAGAAGGGTGGCCAGGTAAAGCATTAGTCAAACTCTCTTTAAACCTGTGGCTTCAGAAAACTTTTAGTCCTACTTAATGGTTTTTTTCCCCCCATTGCTGGGGAAATGAACTAAAAATAGAATCCAAATGCCATATGCTGCCCCAGAGGGCCCAGGGGCTCTGCTTCTTACACTCTATTCCCACCACACCACCACCCGCCTGTCACAGGCCAGGGCTCGGATCCCGGAACCCCACTGCTCTCGTCTCTATTCTGAGCATTCTCCTTCTCCCTCTCTCCCTCTTCAGTTCTCAGCAAGTATCCTTTCTTCAGCCTGCTCTGATGGCCACTTCAAAGGTAGCCATGTCTCCTCTGCTGTTTATGCCACAGCTCAGTCACTAGCACTTGAACTTAGTTACTGTGTGCTTACCTGTCTCCCTCATCCTGATAATGCCATATAATCTCTAGAAAAGCAGCTGTCACAGTGTCTCATCAATGCCAGGCACAAAGCAGACATGGGTGAGACAGCTGACAGTCCGTGACCTGAACTTATGAGCCCAGTACTACAAACCAGCAGAGCTAGCACGCTAGTTCTTTTGTCCTGCACGCCTGCTATCCCCACCTCGGAGGAAGGTCTGCATTAGCACTGAGAAGTCTTTGAGGCTGGAAGTCATGGGCTGTGATTTTCTCAGGTTAGCTTCTCTGCCCTCAGACTTGGGTATCCAGTCATACCTGTGAGTAGTGCTCAGCTGGTTCATGGTTGCTTCTACCTGGGTTAACATTCTACAGCTCTCCCTGACCTCGCAGGGCCCGGGCTTCAGAAGCAGACAGAAGCATTAACTCGGAAGCTTGACTCTAACTTTTCAGCCAGATGATCTTATGCTGAAGCCTCAACTTCATTTGCACCAAGGGAAGGGTAGTAGCACCTACCTCAGAGGGCAGTTGTGAGATTTAACAGGGATTCAGATAAAGGGTTCAGTAAAGCTTCTTGTGGGATGCTCTCTGTCCTGTAGCCCTCAGCCTGCCTCATTTGGCAAGTTCTGGCCCTTCTGCTGGTACTATTCAATGGTTTCTCTCTCTCTGTCTCTGTCTCTGTCTCTCTCTGCTGGTTCCTCTCTGTTCAGTGTTCAATAGTTCCTCTCTGTCTCTATCTTTGTCTCTCTCTGTCTCTCTCTGTCTCTGTCTCTCTGTCTCTGTCTCTCTCTCCATGACTACTTTTATTGGCTGACCATCACTAAAAGTATTTGCAGAGTCCTGGCACATAAAACCAGCCAGCACACCCCGGAAGTTATCAGTGTTCTGGGCAGAAGGAAATTACTCTCTCCCACTGTATGATTTCAGTGGCTGGTACAGTTTTCAAGTGTATTCACTGGATGTTTCGTTGGACTGGGCTAAGTGGGGCTCTAGCTAAGGTCTCAAGGCCAAGTTTATAGTGTTTTACTGAATGTCATAAAATAAAATCCAGTAGAGTAAGTTAAAGGGAGAAAATTTAAAAGCTTCCCGTGTACTGCAATGCTAAGGAAAGAGATGAGGCAGCCTTTCTTAAGCGCAGGTCACTCAGGGTGACTACATCTGTCCATGATGCATTTTTAGAGTGGTTCTTCACTGACCCACTTTAATATTATGGTTTAGAAATTCCATCATATAAATCAATATACTATCATAGAAGATCATCATGGGTTTCTGTATGCCTGATTTATTTATCCCTTGCCAACTGATCTTGAAAAAAATGAATAAAATCACTCTGGTGCCAATGCCAGAGGTCCAAAAGAGACAGTTCTGTTAGAAACACATCTCAGACAAGCTCCTATCCCTTTAATTTGTGCCTTAGCATCTCCATAGGAAATAAAGAAATCAGAGATCACGGCTGTGACAAGTGATTAATAACAACTATGATGTACAGTAACAGTCAAGCTTACTAAAAGCAGGGCTTTGTACAGCCAGGGAAGAACTGTCACCCAGCACGCCATGGGACAGGGAAATGGCATATGTATTATGCCTAGGTCTGTCCCACTCCCCAGCTCGCTGCCCTCTGGGAGGAGTTACCTTCACAAACTGCACATCACTGAGAATGTGCACAGAGTAGTCAGGTGTGTAGAGGTTGTTGCTGCCGCTGTACAGCTGCGTGTTGCTCCCACCGAAGTCACTGCGCTCTCGGTTTGGAGACTCGGAGCGATTCAACCCGCTGCAGCGAGAAGGGGACCGGTTTACTGCAGATGGTGAGGAAGAGGGAAGGGAACAAGAGAGGAGACAAGGAATGGGGGGTGGGAAAAAGAGAGGAAGGATGAGAGGAAGGAGGAAGAGAGAGAAAGGCGCTGTTTACCGAGGTCCCATGGCACTGCCAGGCCTAGCTATGTAAGGACAAGGGCCCATACCCCACTAGAGCCCAAGAAGGGAGTGGCTTGTCGGTGTTGCCTCCTGTGAAACACAGCCTGGCCTGGGGAGGAAGCCAGAGTGCTCCATTTCCCTAGCTGGGAGCAGAAGTAGGAGGCCATCTTGGCTCTTGTCTTTAAGTTAGGTGTAGGAGGACCCCCAAATACACAAGGAGAGTGCTGTGGACATGGTGCTTCTCTACTGGGGCAAGGTACTGTACACAGACCTGTGACAGAAAGACCAAGGTCTTAGGCTTATCTTCAGAATCTCCTGTCATTTCACCATAGCCATATTTTAGTGGGGCTAACTTGGCCTGCCTTATAGCAGTGGCAGGCTGTGGGCTCATGAGCCATGAGGGTAAATCATCACAAGTTGCATAGCATGTTAATATGCAATTAAAGTGTATTTTAAAAAAAGATTTATTTATTTATTTTATATATGAGTACACTGTCACTGTCTTCAGACACACTAGAAGAGGGCTTCAGATCCCACTAGAGATGGTTGTGAGCCACCATGTGGTTGCTGGGAATTGAATTCAGAACCTCTGGAAGAGCAGTCAGTGCTCTTAACCACTGAGCCATCTCTCCAGCCCCCCAGTTAAAGTGTTTTATCCTTGCCTTTCATACCTGTTTATACCAACGTATAAAGCAAGGTTCAACTCTTATTCCGTTTCCCAACTGATGCCTTCTGCACGTCTTCCCAAGACACTAAGGAGGCTGCTGGCTTCTGAGAGCTCAGATCTACCTCAGCTCACTCAAGTGAAGACTCAAAGTCTTCAAAGTTCGTTCAGGGTAGAAACTTAGGGGCTTGAATCTGCCCCATGAGATGATGCTTGTGTCAATCAAGATGTCTGATCAGCTCCCGCTGGAGTGCGTCACAGAGTCTGATGACTTGTCTATTTGCTAAGTCATTACAGCTTGGCAAACCACGCAGTGAAAATACTAAACAGAGGTTGAATCAGGTTTTCTCTAGAACCACAGGGCGACCGCTTTCGTATGCTTATAGAACCAAAGATTCCACTTTTTTACCTTAGTCATCTCTGAAAATGCCATTTACTTGCTTGAAGCTATTTGGCCTCAGAAACCTGGGATTGGCCTTGACTTCCCTACTCCCTTAGGACCACGTCAAGACCTGCTATTAGCCTCTAACCCAAAGGGCTCTCTCTGCTTTCTCTCTCTTTCTACTCAAGGACCGTTACCATCAGTTTTGTCTGGGTCCCGATCTGTTCTCCTTACTAATCTCAAACAGCGGCTTCCTATCAGTGGTGGGGTGGTGAAATCCCATGACTTCAAGTCGATGCCAGACACTCCAATAGTGAAAACCCAATTTATACGCTGGGTTTCCCCTTCCCTGCATACATATAAAATTTAACTTGCAATTTAGATACGATAAGACACCATTTATCACTAAGTATTAACTAATGAAATAGAATTATAATACATACTAAGATAAAAGTTGTTTATACATTGCAAATTCCCTATTTCCTAAATTTTCAATTTAATACTTATGGATCTTTATTATCATTGGCAATGGAAATCACAAAAAGTAGAAGTGTGGATAAAAGGAGACCACTGAGATCTGCTTCCATAAATTCACTTCTGACTCTACCTGAGTAAAACCAGACTCCTTGCTGAACCCCACTTTCCTTACTGATTTAGTCTTGGGTCCCTCTTTCTTCTCTTGGCTTCTGGCTTCCTTGGGCATCCTGAATCACAGAAGTGCCTCTTTCTGAGAAGGTGCCAGTCTCTTGGTTCCCAAGCCTTCCTGCCAAGGTGGCCTCCTTCTTAATCCCTAGCTGTCTCTGGAGATGCTCACTTCCCTGAAGACTTCATCTGCGTACCCTGAGAAGCTCCCTCAGGTTCACTGTTACTGCCTCTTTCCAGTCCTTCAAAAAACATGTTTTACAAAAATTAATTACATATTCGTCAGATCTGTTGAACCGTAAATTCAGTGAGGGTAGCACCCTTGCCTTTGCTGTTCATCATCAGTACACACCCTCAGAGCCCAACCTGAAGCAGGTACTCAGTACAAAGGCAGAGTGGACAAATCTGTACCCATCAGCCCTTGAAGGGACTTTAATTTAGAATCTAAATCCTGTTTAAGGGAAGCCTATTTCTCTAAGAAGCTAGGGTTGATAGCAGGATGCCAGAAATGTTGCTGTATAGAGTTAAATCCAAGAAGCTTCAGGCCTTGGCCTGGCAGCTTAGGGGAGAGGCCAGGGGGCACCAAGACTCTACCTTCTCTTTAATAACAGTGCTTGAGACAAGAGGTCCTGGAGCCAGGCCTGTGGAAGTGGCTCATTCATAGGTGTTGGAGGACTAGACTGTCCAGAATGACTAAGGACTGACATGTCAGTGACAGAGAACATAGGGACACAAGCACCAGTGGCTATGGGTTATAAGACTGTGGTCTTGGTCCCTTGAAAACAAACTGATGGGTTCTGCCTTGGCCAAATCTGCTTGTAGCTCTTCAGGGTAGCACCTGGCTAAGCAAGCCAGAGCTCTGTCCTCTGGGGCAGTTGTGTGAATAGCATGTAGTTTTGCAGAAGGGCAGCTTCTTTGGCGTGTGATCAGGGTCTGCAGAACTGACTCGGCATCCATCGAGTCAGGCATAGCTCAGGGGAGAAGGCGTGAGCTCCGCCTGCAGCTTCATGGTTGCATCTTCCACTTTTCCTGACCAAACAGGGGCTTTGCAGCCCACAGCTTCTGCCCCACATCGTCATCTTAGGTCATGTTTCTGTACACTATTTGGGAAGGAAGACAGAAATAGAACCTATCTTATCTACTGAACTCTCCCCATCTTCGGGTGCATCTGCCTGGATCACTTCCATTCCTTATAGGGAATAGAGGCAAATACATTCTAGTTCTCTACAAAGCTCTCATCATGAGCATCAGGATAAGGAGATCATCTTGCTTTTACTCAGGGACTCATGTTACACACACACACACACACACACGTGTACATATACATATACATATATATATATATATATATATCACTGTTGTGTTGTAAGGAGAAATATATTTTAACATTTTAAAAATTAAATATACCATTGGATGTTTATTTATAAAATCTAAAAGATTCTCAACACCAAAAGATACAACTGTGTTGTAAAAGGAATTAAGAGGAAAGAAAAAAGGAATCCTCATTTCGTGACAAAGAAACTCCCAGCTCATCCGAATGCTGTGCAAGATGGATGTTTCATCGTCCCAGGGCCTGACATTCCTCAATAGGTAGGACACTGATGACTTGGCATTTCGGTAATTGTGCACATGCTCTGAGGCTTCAGAGCCAGGGAGATGGGAATGGAAATGCTTTTAATAAAAAAGAGAAGAAATCAGTAACAGACGAGTGTCCCAGCAGCATGGCAAACTAGTTCAAGTTGTCCAATTCCCCTTGGCATTTCCTAAGAGCACAGAGGCACGGCTTGGGGAACGAAGCAAAGTGGAAAACCCTAAGTGTGGTGCAAGGGGGCTTGGATGCAGCAGATCAGACAACAGAACACATCGCTGCTGACCACAGACACCAACAGGAGCTGGGCCAAGTGGCCAACATGCCTCTGTCCTTTTGGTCTTATACCATGTAGCTGGCTCCAGGGTGACTGGGTAGAAGGGAACACTGCTTCCTACTCATCATCACTGGAGGACTGTGGTCTACCTCCTTCTACTACATTGCTGCCAGTGTGTGGTCATCTTGAGCTGTCTGTCCTGGCTAGCAGCCTAGAGTGACTGAGTTTGGGTGGAGAATATATTGCACTAAAATTTGGGGAGGTAGAAGAAGGCATGGAGGAATATTTTATATAGTAATTGATGCTGGATAGACTTTCCTTTAATCTGTACTAATATACTGTCACCTTGAAGATTGTCACGTAGCTCTGGAACTCTTGCCTCTCTTGTGCCTACCTTTATCTAGGGAACCCTCACAGGGAACAAAACTCAAAACTCACAAGCATAATGCTTGACTCCCCTTTGGAGCATGAAGATTTGTGGGAACAAAAGGGCTCTGTGCCTGCCTGTCTACATCCTTTCTGATCATCAGAGAGGGATGAGGGAGAACAGCTTTCCTTTGGTCATGGTTACTACCACAGGCCATCTGTGTTCCCCAAATTAGATAGGGGTGGGGTTTAATTACACAGGCTTATAAGAGTACAAACTAAGATTATTAAAATTCATCATTCTTGGTAGGGCTTTTTTTTTTTAACATCAGACAACCAAATGCCAAGAGCCAGCTCTCCGTCAAGCCCCACGTGAACCCTGCAAGTCAGCCCCAGTTACGATCCCAGATGAACTTGCTCACGTTTCAAGGAGTGTGTTAATGGTTCCCAAATGTTTACTGCACAAGAGCCAACCCCAAGGGATATTTCCACTTGCCACATTGTACAAAGCTGGAAGATTATTTTTAGGGACTCCTTGGATACTCAGGGAGAAAGCGACGTCCTCTTTGATCTCACAGCACATTATGGGTAGACAATAGCCTTGGTGGTGATGTCTCTGTCTCTGTGCTTCTGTGGATTTAGGAGGATTGCCATGGGAAAGTCAATATTGTCTCCATCAGGAGAAGGACGAGGGAATGAATGTGGCGAGAGGGAGAGATAACTGCAGTGGGGCCAAGGAGAAGTTTCATTTTTAAACAAAAGCACCTGCAAAGTTAGCTAATTGCACTGTTCTCTGGAGGTGATCCATGGACCACTAAGCCCTCCTTACTTCAGAAAGAAATGCCTCATGGATAATGATTTACAGTCACATGCTCAGTATTTCTGAAATATTTGGTACAAGGACTCTTGGACTTGGTCCAATGTGAGCACCATATTCATTAGCATGGCTAGTGCAAACATTGC